ACTGGCATTAAAAAAAAAAAAAAAAAAATCAACGGTCTTTGCAGCCCAACAATAAGACCGGCCCACCAGGAATTGTCCAGGTCCTCCCAATTGGCCACTCCAGGCCTGCCCACAGGCCAGGTTCAAGCAAACGACAATATGAAGCCTTACTAACTTGTTGGCCTCTAACGACTTCACTGTAGTTCTTTGGAAGACGGCAGAAGATGAAGCACATTGCATAACTACTTGAGGAGACAAAAAATCCAAATAAAAAAAATCCCTTAGGCAGTTTTGACGACCCATGTTTCATTCTTCTCTGCTGTGGAAGTACCAGCTGCAGATTGACCGTCTCAGCTATAGCCTTGTAATGCCTGAGGGGCCGAAACCGATTCTCTTTTTTTGTTATTACAGGCAAAATATTTAAAACATAAGGCATGCCCTTTTTTTCTCATTATCAGAATCTTATGCAATATGAAACACTCCAGATGGTTTTCTTATTACTTCTAAACGTAGCCAGCAGGCTGCAGTGTTCAACAGAGGGCAGTCGTAGAGCACAGGCCAGATGGGTTACATGTGTGACAAATGCATGAAACTATTAGGGATTACTGAGACACAGTGACATGTTATAGGTGAGGGGCAGGTAGAGATGAACTACCTACAGCAGACGGTGATACATCGCAATAAAGTCGTGGATGAACTGGACAGACTTATGTTAAAGCTCCTCACCCACATCAGGAAACAAGGATATGAGGTGCAGGTTTTTTATGAATATGCTGAACATTTTTAGTTATTAGATTCACAAAATGTTCCCTCTGTAAATTGAAAAATATTTTTTTCTTAATTGAGAAAATATAACCAAAGTAAAATGATCTTGTGGTCACAACCCAATTGAAATAGCAATAATAGAAAATATATATTTTTTCCTCAGTTTTAATCACAAAAATATATAATGTTAATAGAACCACTAATCTTTATTTAATTTTGTACAGTCATATATAATAAATCAGAACATGGCTATGATGATGCTTGTTTGTCAGATAAAAAATATTTTTTTAGGTACAAACATATGATTCAATAACCCTACATTTATATATAATTTAGCTTTTTATTGATCTTTTAATTTACTAATTCAAATACGCTTTCACTGCTGCACTTTATGAATAGAAATGTTCCTTTTCACTGCTCAACTGCTGCTTATTCACTGTCTGAAAGCTGTATAAACGAAATTTCGTTTTTTTATACACTCTGTGAATACTAAGTAAAGTAAGTGCAAAATTATTTGTATTAACAGATATAAAAAAAATCAGTCTTTGTTTATTTAATCTATTTAAAAATGGATGTATACATGGTATTTCATTAAGGTAGAAAAGTTTCTCAAATTAACAACTTTTTCAATAATATTCTATTAATAATATGACTATATCTGTACAGTGCTTTAAAATGTTTCGGCTCGTTAAAAGATTTCTTTCCTTTAATTTTTTTAGTTATACTTAGATGTTTCATTAATATTATTCCATATTATTATTATTTAGAACGTTTATGCTAGGGTTTACCACCACAGTGACAGCCACTATAGAAAAACTGTGAGAAAAACTTGAAACTGTACAAAACCTTCCCAGGAGTTACAAATGGGAGGTCCAGCTATGCTAAGAGAGCCAGACTGAATGACTAAACTCACTAAAAAGAGAATGCTCTTTTGGCTCCAAAATGGCTCAGATTCAAGTACCACAAGGGATGCGGTTGGGATGGGTTTTGTGTGGAAATTTGCTTTATCTTCTACAGTTTAAATTTTTATAGCAAAGCATCATGCCTTAATCAGTTCCTTAATTAAAATCCAAACTGTATAAAATTATATATGTTCAAGTCTATATAAAGAAAAGTATCTGATGCTTCTCAGGATTTAATGATAATAAACTAGGTAAAGAACATGGAACTACAGTCTAGTTTAGAGGAATAGTTTACTCTTAGTTTCATGCCTGTTGAGTTTGTGAGATCTTTTTGAAAAATATGCTTTGTGTCATGTTTTAAAATAATTTTCATCTCTCAAAATAGATCTGCTCTCTCCTTATTTCTTATGCTGGTGAAGATTGTCATCCAGATCATAGTCATTCCAAAAATTTGACATGGCAGAACACAATTTAATCACCAGCTACGATCAAACATATTTCAGCAGTTCACGAATGGCTTATATTCTTGTCATAGGCCCGACATGGTGCTTCATACATTAAATGGAGTTTAAATGTTGCAGCAAGAGCGAATAACAACATTGCTTAATCTAACTTTGCACCGTGCAGATGCTCTGTGTGCACCAATGAAGATGTATTCACCACAACCTGTATGTTGTATCTGATTGTTGCCTGATATGTCTTAATAATTCAGCAAATAGAGTATTTAAATCCATTATTTATGGGGAAAAAGAGAAGGTGATATCGGAGTAAATTCTATGTCCCAGTAAAAACACAGACTATGGGCAGAACAAAACCAACACAAATACCAGCTACACTTTACAGAACATTGAACTTTTGTCTAATTAATGCACAAACCTTCTTTATTTCTTCATAGTCATAACTATAAATAGATATTATATATGATAGATATAGATATGCTCTCCAGAATGTAAGACATATGTAATGAAACAAGCTGAATAGGAAAGATTCTGACTACCCAACTATAAATAAGCTTTTTTCCCCCACACCAGATTTATTTTATTTTAAAACACTTTATTATATATTTCACTGTGTAAAAATAAATATATAAGTTATTAAAGTCTTTGACATTATTTTCTGTGTCAACCCATCAATAGGTGTGCTATGTATTTGTGCAAGGGTTTTTTGCTTTATCTTACTGAACTTGCTCACTGTTGGTGCATTTATTTAAGATGCTCCTACGCTGCAGCAGTGGTATCATGAAATTAGAGCTCTGTTTTCCCCAGTATAGATTCAATTTGCTGGCAAACTACAGAGACAACTTCCTGCATTGCAGTAATAATAATAAAAAAAAAAATCCTCTATATGTTGCTCTATGTAATACTTCATAGTCAGTCATTTTACCCAAATACGATTACTGGTCTCCTCGGCCCTAAAGCTGGAAAAAAAATGGATTCAGCAAATGTCGTCAACATATTTTTAGCATTAGCTTTCATTTTTTCACTTTCTGTATCGATCCATGCACAAAGTTGCCACTTTATTAGGTACCTGTTTGACTTTGCATGGTTAAGAGCAAATCAGCGAATTAGGCACACAAAACGTAATGCATTTAGACAACGCTGAATTTATACAAAGTTTCTAAATGAGAATAAAGTGACATAACACGGTATTTGGTATTGACAAATGAGATTTTCATTTGAAAGCTAATTAATTCTGTGAAAAAAATGGTAAAAACAAGCAGTTAATTGGACAAAAATGTCTTGATGTCAAAGGAAATTATGCACACTGGTTTAACAATAAAGAAAAGCAATGACAGCTCCAAAGATTTGTTTTAATACTAAGAAATGCAAAACATATCTAAAGGTATAACCCATTGAACTTTGAAGCAGAGGCTCTATAGTAGCAGAGAATCACACCAAAAACTACTACTTCCTGCTAAAACCATAAGGATACAATTCACACACTGTCACCAAAACTGGATATTACCCTTTCCTGGTCTTCTGTGTCAGCTGCAGCCTTTATATGCAGGGGTCAGAATTATAAAACGTGAATACATGAATACATCCTGCCGTGTGATTGATTTAGCCAAGTATTGAGCCTGGACATGTCCACATTTTTATGTAAATCTTTTGGTACCTATTTGTTAGGCTCAAGTACCGGTAATGTTCAACTGGTTTCCTGGAGATGGCATTGAGTTCCCTGTGCAACAGTGTCCTCCACAGTAACCAGATCTTAATCTGATAGCGCCTTTGGGATTCACTAAAACATGAAATTCAAGCCATTGATGTGCAGCTGATAAATCTGAAGCAACTGCATGATGGTTACATGAAAATTGGAACAAAATTGTTTCTGGGGAATATTAAAAAACAGCAGGATGAGTTTATGTGACAAAGATCTAAACCATGCCTTTACACTTTTAAGTTTCCTCTGACAAACTAGAAACATTGTCATCAGTTCTCATTTTAGTGGAAGATGAAGACAACATACCAAGTGAACCATCATATCTTATTTTAGAAGGCAAACAGGAAAAGCTTCAAAGTCAACTACCCATGTACATAAACTCTTTTCTTTTCTCTCTCTATATCTTTGTGAGGATTCAAGGCTTTTGCAGCGATTCATTTGCTCCCACTGGCATGACTCTGCCTGACATTAAACAGCGAATGACGTGATTATTGGAGTTTAAAATATAAAAATCTTGTGTTCTGCAAGCGAGCGCTCTCCCTGCGCATTGTCAGACCCTGAGTGTATGTGCGTAGACAGAAATAGACAGCCACCCACATATCATTAGGGAGATGCAGGGAGAGAGAGGAGGAGAGACGGACTGTGACAGCGTAGGAGAGTGAAGCGGGATGAATAAAAAATATGGTGGTCACAGCTTGACACCTTGTTTTTTTTTTTTTTTGCTGCATTCAGATGTAGGTAAAATATCTCTGAGTTAGCTGTTGGAGTTTGCTCCTACTTGATGGGTTTTCTTTGGAGGCAGCTTTTTATTTCCACAGAGAAACTTATCTGATCATCTAAATTAAGATTTGAAGTGTGTGGGAGGGGTGTAGGCTATTTCACTACATGTGTGCTTTAATGGACTTAATGATGTGGAAGGAGTCCGCCCTCTTGTGGAGTGCTGAGAAAAAACTCTGACTTTGCTCTGCATTACAGGACGCTCTTCAGCGTCCATCCTCTTACCTAACACATCCATGATTCATTGTGTAGGCTAAAACATTAGTTAGATCTAAATCCCAACAGTAAATCATGGAAATCATCAACTCTGCCTGATATCTGTGTTTAAAAGTATATCCTAACACTGCCAGATACTTTTTTTTTTAAAGAGCAAAATTTTCACTCTAATTTTCATTTTAATTTCCTTTTTATCTCCAGGAAGCTGCTAAATGTGAAGATCATTGATGATGAGGAATATGAGAAAAACAAGACATTTACGATTGTTTTGGAAGAACCGATCCTGCTGGAGGTTGGACAGAGACATGGTGAGAGAAGGAGTGTTTTTGGCTGCTGCAGAGTGCTAGTCTGCAACACTTCCATCAGCATGTCAATACATTTCACTTAAATATTCCGATACCAAATTTCCACCTTCAGATCATTTCTTATAACTGTGGGCTATTCCTCATCGAAAAGCCCTTGCACAAGTATTTATATGACACAAACTTTTCAACATTTTGTCTTATTCCAGCCAGAAACTTTAATGAATCTTACTTGAACTTGTGTGACCAACCAACTGTAAAGTGAAAGGAAAATTTTATGGGGTTTTATTTTTATTTTTTTACAGAAAAAGGGAAAAGTGGGACTAAAAACAGTAGAATGACATTTTGCTTCAGAAAGACATGTAATATTTTTAAAGTTCATCTTTACCAACTTTTTACGTTTTTAAACAGAAATGGGAAGTCATCAACCTTGAAATCTAACTACAAATTCTCTCTAAGATTATACTCATGTTTAGAGAAGAACTTTGACTAGGCCGTTCAAACACAGGAAGGTACTTTCATCAAACATAGAGGTCATTGTTGCTTTAACTGTTTTTCTAGGGTTGTTGTTCTCCTAGAAGGTGACTCTCCAGTCTTTTGTAGTACCTACCACATTATCATCCTGGATTGCCCTTTAATTAGCTTAATCTGTCTTCAAATTAAATCTGAGCAGCATCCTTGTTTCTGCAGAAGAAGTCAGCCCTTACACCTTTTCAATTCTATCTCAATCTTTGATGGTCAAGATGGTATATCCAGATGGTTTGTTGCTTTGTTTCTTTGCAGCACTTAACATTTTGCATATAGGGGCTGGAGGTCTTGTGGCTTTCTCTCACCAAGCAACTCTTCAATTAAGAATACATTTTAAAATGTAGCATGAAAAGTTTTCCTGCCCATAGAATCTCCTACTTTAGAATTGGATCTCTGCAGCTCCTCCAGAGTTTCCTATATGCTTTGTTGGTGCTTCTATGAATTAAAACTCTTCTTGCCCCGCCTGATAGTTTAGGTGGACCGTTAAGTATTGGTAAATTTGTGGTTGTGTCATCTATCACAACTTCTCAAAAATCTTATGAATACCTGTCTAAACTACCAGAGACTAAGATATTACTTTATGGTAGCATCCAGCTGTGTTTGTTAAAATGCAGTTATTCTCTTCATGATACATCATTTAGAACATGTTAAACTTCTGCATCTGTTACACTGTGCAGGGGACACAAATGATAATAAAACAGCAGTGGGACCAGAGGACGTGTCAAAGATGGGCTGCCCCATTCTAGGAGAGCACACTAAGCTGGAGGTGATCATCGAGGAATCGTACGAGTTCAAGGTAACTTAAAACAAGCATTGTTCAACCACTATCTCATAAAACAAGATTTCCTATTTAAATTCTGAACTGGCTGATAAACAACACAGCTGACAGCCCTTACAAAAGCACTTATTAAAAAGATTTCAATTTATTTAAAGCCAGAAGTTTCTAAGAAGAAATCTACAGACACAGTCGGAGATCCTAAACAACATAAAAGTTAAAGCCTCCGACTGTTATCACAGTTTCCATCAAGTTACCATATTTTCTCTTTGACAGCAATGATAAATATTTAAACTCAACCACAGATCTGTGATGAATTATGAAGCATTTTCGTGCTGCTAACTAGTTCCCCTGCCTGCATATTTACTCATTTAAACCATGAACCTTTAAACAAGTTGGAAAGAGAAAATCTGATCGAATAATACAAAATCCTTAACTGTTGTGTATATAAGATGATGGCATGAGGATGCTGCTTAGATTGCCCCGATGGTGTAGTGCCAGTCAGATGTTTGTTTATGTCAATGTACCAACCTGCGCTGCTGTGCTTCGAAACATTATGCACAGATGTATGTGTAGATTAACAGACTCTGCAAACAGCATCATTCAGACTCTGACCAATCCTGTTCAAAGCTCAGTGAGATTCTTCTCCAGCTTGTGGAATCATTGGCGCTTTAGTTTATATGTCAGTGATTGATTATTTTATATATATATTTTTATATTTTTCTGTTTTTATTATTGTTCTTGTTTTTGTCTGTTTATGGACCATAATTGTGTCTAAATAAAGAGATTGATTGATTGATTGATTGATTGATTGATTGATTGATTGATTGATTGATTGATTGATTGATTGATTGATTGATTGATTGATTGATTGATTGATTGATTGATTGATTGATTGATTGATTGAATATGGAATTTGATGCAGAAATGTGAAGATGGGATTTTACAACTTAAGCAAATAAAAAAAAGCTATTGCACAGAATGCAGATACGGCATGATCAGTCATGGAAAGAAGGTGTTTAATTGGTGGACAATCTATATCTGCAGCTTCTGGTATTCTGTGCACCCTGTTAATTCAACCTGAGACCCCCCTGATTACATCACCATGACATCAGCCCCATTTTTACTAACGTTACAGCCACAGGATACATTGTGTTAACAGGTTTGTATTGCAGAGTAAACTGATACCTTAGCGTAAATTGGCTGTTGTTCTCATTGAAGACTATTTAAGAGCATTTAAGCTGCTACATGATACAGCGCTGAGACTCCCAGCACAGCTCTCAGGCTCTGTTTCCTGTGGGCCTGCTTCATCCTGGCATAAAGCCCAGATGATCCTAAATCTGGTTCTGTGACTCACTGTGCACCACAGTGGAAGGAGGGATGCTGGTAACTGTACCCTCAGTGCCCTCATCAGTGTCCCCTGTGTCACTAATTGCTAAGCTTATGCTGATAATGTGAGTCTTCTACCTGTAAAAGCTGCTCTCTCTGTCTGCATGGTCGTCTCCAGAGCACAGTGGACAAGCTCATCAAGAAGACCAACCTGGCCCTGGTGGTGGGGAGCAGCAGCTGGAGGGAGCAGTTTGTCAGTGCTGTAACTGTCAGCGCAGGTGAGTGGCTCAGTCCTGAAACCTACTGTAACATCTGTGCCTCTCAGTGAGGAGCAGCCCTTTACATGGAGAAACATGTGGTCTGGATCGGGTTCACCAGCTGCCTCCTGTGCTTTTTGTTTTTTAACGTGACATTTCTTCAATTAAAATCCCAAACATTTCAGTTTAACGTTTGAATGCCCTTTGGCGAATCTCTGTTTATCTGATGCAGCTGTGTGAAGCAGACAGCTTATTAAAAATGCATTATTCACTGAATTCCTTATGAGTCCCACCATTAAAGCTGCTCTGGCAATGGCCAACACCGCCCGGACAATTTATGTGACTCTTAGTAAGAAGCTCTTTCGAAAGCCATTTGTTGAGCTTTGTAACTCTTAAATGTTCTCAAACAAAAGCACTGTGACAACAAAGTGAATCACACCATGTAGAGGTCCTGTTTTTACTTTTTTAGTTATTTACCCATACTAGATAAGTGTAGAACTAGGAAAATTAGAGGTAGCTGTTCCTGCTTTTTACTGCTGTTTATTATCGAAACGCATTTTTTATTTTTATCAATATTTTTGTTATTATAAGCATTTATTACTGCAGTTGGCTTAAGAAGCCCCAAAATATCGAATAATAAGTTTGGCGACTGAAGTTAGATCCTTAAAAAAACAACAACAAACAAACAAAAGGAAATCAGATCAAAAAACTATTTCAAATTGACATAGAAATCAAAGTTAAAATTATAGTTAGCTAGATTACTGTCAAAAATTCACCTCAAACAGTCATAGATGTATACTACTACTGTTTGTTAATGCACAGTATTAGGTTTTGCTGTTCAAACTGCTCTGGCTATACCCCAGCAAGAGATAAAAAGGCTCTCCATTATGTCTAATCAGCTAGTTGTGTGCCGCCCATTTCTAATGTCGCCCTGGGCAAATACCCATGTTAATATCAAAAACCAAATTTATGGCTCAAATTGAAGGCATACCAAGATCAAATAAACAGGACTTCATCTAATGGTTCAGTTTATGTCCAAATAAGCCTGATTTTGCTCATTTGGATACTAAAACAACCATTACAGTGGATGTATATTTAATTAGGATCTATTTTGCATTAAAAAAAAAAATTTGCTTTTGATAACTTTGAATTTCGATAGTAAAGGGAGAAATATTCACATGTCCTCTGGAATTTCTACAACAAATCAAATCAACAACAAATCCAAGTCCTGGACTCCCACACTAACTCTCTATTGATACCTTTGTGGTTGGAGATAGTCTTGTGAAAAATAGCAAAAACAAATGAGAAAATGGATTAAAAGAAAAAAACAGTAAGGATTTCCACAGAACACCCTTAAGAAATAGAAAATGCAAAGGCAAGTCAATTGTTAACTTTGATCACTGACACTGTATAGAATAGAACTGGAGCATTTACTGCATATTCACATTATTCTAAAGGACAGTCAGTGATAATAAATACAACAACAAAGCATTTTGACAGAGAGAAAGGACCGGTTATAACGAATGATTTTACCTTAAGTTGGTAAACAATTCTAGAAATTGGAATCATAGTTACTATATTAGTTAACTTATTTTTTTTTTAAGATAATCCCTTTAAACATAAGAGCTAGAGAGGGGAGTAAATAAAAGAAGCAACACTCTCATGATCAAGATTCATTTTGAGTAACTCTTAAATGCAACATCATGCAAAAAAAAAAAAGTAATGTTGAATTAAAATGAAATTAAATGCTGGATAAAACAATACACAAAACAGAGGTGATGAAACTGTTCCCAGAGAGAGATTTATGAGAACAGAGAGAATGATGACATTTAAAACAGAGGAAAAAATAGATGAGAGGTTAAGGATGGAGGAAAAAGATGATTTAAAATGTCTATCAGGACGTTAATGTCAGATAGAAGCTAAATACATTAGCACTTTACTGACATCTAGATTTGTTCCTATATAGTTCATTGACTTCAATGACACCAACGGTAATGCTTACCGTAGATTCTGTGAAGGGGGGTTAGTGCACTTAACAGACATTTTGCTTTAGTGTTTCAAAGATTTCCTTTATATTTTTGGAACTTTTTCTAAGCTTAAATTTCTTGTGAAGCTACTTTAATTGACTACTTTGTAGTGCAAATTGGAGCATTCCGCAAATAAATCATTAGATGTAAAGATTGTTGACATTGCTGGCTGAACATAGAAAAACATGCATGCAGGTAAAATATGGACTAATAATGAACAGTGCTGTAACTACTATTAATACTTTTAATCACATTATTTAACATGATGATTTAACCCTCTCCAAAACCTTCCTGTTTGTACCTCTTCAAAATAAAATGGGGTTTTCACCCCTGGCAGAGAGAAATAAATGATTTCTGTCACATTCTAACTGTAATTACTGTGAACTCTTGCTTGTTTTGTTCTCAACGTACAATGGTTTTAAAAAAGGATAGTGACTAACATCTTGCAGCATCTATTTGTTTGTGTGAACGACGAGTTGGTTTAATTGCTGAGGCTCAATGTCTCCTAATCACTTACTTCCTGCTACCCACCGATGACTAATAGTTCCAGTAAGGTCCAAATGCTACTTTAATTTGACATTAGGGGTGGGTATTGCCAAAGAATTCACGATTCGATTCCAATCATGATTCACATGCCACGATGCGATTCTATCACGATGCATCACAATCCGTGAAATATTGCGATGCATCGCAATATTTTCACTGAACACAGTAAGAAAAAAATACAGCTATTACCAGCGGCTTTGTATCCTCTGGATAGTGTTTTCAATTGATACATAACTGAACGCAACTTAATTCATACATAGCTGTATTTATTGAAACAACTTTTGAAGGTATTGCCATGAAAACAAATACTGGACACAAATATTACTGTTACTGGAGTGGACACACTGACAAAAAGTGCTTAGGATTTATAAAACTTAAAATAAAAGTGCCGTTTGCATGGTCTCACTGGTCCTTTACACCAATGAAATGGAAACATTTAAATGTTTGACATTTCCCATTTCGCAAATTAAGTGTGTCAAATCAATTTCGTTTTTAAATTCTTTGTTTTTTAAAGCAAAAATGCATCCAAACATCTGATTCGGAATGTGATGGAGCTGGGCTAATTTTTTCAGTCTCCATGTTTTGTTTATGAATGACTCGTTGCAGTATCCGCAGCGACGTCTACTGGACTGAAAGTTGTATTCCACTTGTTTTTGGCTGATGTGTGCCAACCATTCTTGTATTTTATTTATTTCTTTTTGTTAATTAAGAATCGATACTTGGCATCAAGAATCGATGCAGCAGATCACAAAAATTAGAATCGCGATGCATCGCCATGACGATTATTTTGCACACCCCTATTTGACATTGACATCTTTACAGTATACAGTTTAAACTTGAATGATTACAATTTTGATTCAGATTACTTGTATTGATTTCATATCCAAATCTTGATTCTGCTCCTTCTAAGGGGATCATAAAAGTTGACAAGTTTTAAACCAGTTGCTGTAAAGCTGGGTTCAGACAGCAAGATAATCTTCCCCTCCCTCAATTATCTGGGATACAATCCTGCTGTATGTGGTATGTTAAGAGTGATCAGGTCTGCTTGGAAAACAGCAGGACCCACATGGCTCTGTTTAATCAAAAACAGTTTGAGTTTTGAAAATCAGCAGACAATTTTAAAACCAGTCTTAACTTTGTTAAGACTTGTCTGAATGAAATACTCAGAACCTTTTAATAAAATGTTTATTCCTTGAGCATTTAATATTCCACATGTGTGGCTACATCAATCCAGGTATAAGTAATAAAGCTAAATGCAGGTCTGCAGTTTTTGTTTTCAAACCACATTAAGCAGTGGCGGAGCAAGAACATTTTCATAGGGGTGGCTGGCAGGGACCAACGTGCACTGAGGGGTGGCCGAAAACTGATGGGAACCAAAAGCAGTTTAGTCATTCTACACACTCTACCAACAGGAAACTGAATGAGCAAAACATCCATGTTCACCAAATAGATCAATGAAGACAGACTAGATTTTCATGAAGTCCTCACTAATACATCTTCACACATATTTATACATGCATGTTGTCTAAATTGGTTATATTCTGTATATTATATAAACATGGAATAGAGTCAGAAGTGTTGCTTTATCGCTGATTTTATAGAAGACTACTTGATGACGCTTGCTTCTTCCTCATAAAGAACAACATTTGATTCTGAAAAGAGTGAAAATTCTGTTTATTTCCTCAACTTTAGTATATTTATGTGGCTATTTAAAATATTACTGTAATTATGTTATCAGTTTATTTTGATATCCTAGCAACTGAAAAATTAAGTTAGTTATAATGTTCCACCTGAGAGTGTCACTACTGCCACCCTCTGGTTTAAAGGTGAACTGCTTGTTCTTCAGGTTATAAAGTACGCTCCAATTGGAACAACAAATCACCTGGTTGGGGTTGCCATATGGAGGACTGACTCTGCCATATATAAAAATAAATATAGAAATAAATAAATGCTCAATAAATAAATAAGCATACAATTAATTGCCACCAAAAATACAATTAACAAATAAATGTAAGTAGAAATTAAATTATACAGTGAGACATAATGTATATAACTCTTTTAATTAGCTTCTTTATTTACTTGCTTTTGTAATATTTAGCTTATTTCTTTTTTGTCCTTTATAATTTTCAACTTTATTTTTAATTACTTATATTTTTAAGTATTTATTTATGTGCATGTTATAATATTTTTGTGTTTTATTCTTCCTTTGTATTTTTTTACCCTAGATATTTCTTCACCGCTATTTATTTCTGCTAGCCCTTTTTACATTTCTGTATGCATTTCTGCCTCATTAGGCAAATGGGGAGGGGGTGTGTCCTAGAGAGTCAACTTCTGCTCATTGGCCGATCTCGAACATCTATAAACAAAGGTGTTGATGGGAGCAGCACAGCTGATATTTCTCTCCAGGATGGAGTCACAGCCAAACAGGAACAGAGCAGATGAAACTACTATGAGAAAATCAGAGAGAATAATTTTAAAGATTAAACTATTTCTGCAGTGGGATAATAGAAATAGAATTAAGCAGAATGTTGAAAAAGGGGTCCCTATGTCCTCTAGCAGTCTAAGCCTATATCAGCATAACTATAGAGATAGCTCAGAATAACCTGAGCCACTCTAACTATAAGCTTTATCAAAAAGGAAAGTTTTAAGCCTAGTCTTAAAAGTAGACAGGGTGTCTTCCTCACAGACTTAAACTGTTAGTTGGTTCCACAGGAGAGGAGCCCGATAACTTAATTTTACTTCTAGAAATTCTAGGAACCACTTGTAAACCTGCAGAGAGCAAAGTGATCTGTTAGGAACATAAGGAACAATCAGATCTCTGATATCAGATGGAGCTTGGCCATTTAAGGCTTTAAATGTGAGAAGGAGTATTTTAAATTCTATTCTGGATTTAACAGGAGGACAATGAAGAGAAGCCAAGATAGGAGAGATATGATCTCTCTTTTTAATTTTCATCAGAACTCTGGCTGCAGCATTTTGGATCAGCTGAAGGCTTTTAACTACAGTTTGTGGACTTCCTGATAGTAAAGAATTACAATAGTCCAGCCTTGAAGTAACAAATGCATTGACTAGTTTATTAGCATCACCTCTGGACAGGATATTTCTAATTTTTTCAATATTCCACAGATGTAAGAAGGAAATTCTATAAAGCTCTTTGATATGGGATTTAAATGACAGGTCTTGAACGAAAATAACACCAAGATTTTTTACTTTGTTATCTGAGATCAATTTAATGTCATCCAAAAGAAGTGACTGACGAATCAGCTTATTTTTTAAAGACTCTGGTCCAAAGACTATAACTTCTGCTTTGTCTGCTTTCAGGAGCACAAAGTTGAGAGTAATCCAGGTTTTTATGTCTTCGAGACATGCCTGTAATCTATGTAACGGGTTAACTTCATCTGGATTTATAGACACATGCAGCTGAATATCGTCAGCATAACAGTGGATATTAATCCTATGCTGTCTAATAATTCTACCATTTGGGAGCATTTATATAGTAAAGAGAATTGGTTCTAGCACTGATCGCTGTGGTACTCCACAGGTAACCTTTGAGCAAGATAAAGATTTGTCATTAATGTGAACAAAGTGAAATCGATCAGATAGATACGATTTAAACCAGTCTAGTGCTGTTCCTTTAATTCCTATAAAATATTCAAGTCTTTGTAAAAGAATATTATGATCAACTGGATCTAATGCAGCACTGAGGTCTTAGGACAAGTATAGATACAAGTCCATTATCTAAGGCCATGAGAATATCATTAGTGACTTTTACCAGAGCTGTTTCAGTGCTATGATGAGCTCTAAAGCCAGACTGAAACTCTTCAAAAAGTTCATTATGGTGTAAGTGCTCACACAGTTGTTTGGCAACTACTTTAACAAGAATTTTAGATAAGAATGGAAAATTGCATCCCAAACTTTACCTGTTGATTAGAAACTTCGTAACCGAGGCATCAGTGGGAAACCCGACCTGTGTTTTCAGTGTATTCCATCACGTCAAAGAATCTCCCACAAGCACTCTGGTCTTGCTTCTCTTTTCTGAGGCCTTTCTCTTCTTCTCATACACTTCATAGACAATTTTTCTCTTATGACCCTCAACCATTTTCAAAGAACCGCGGTGAGAAAGGCGAGCAGCAATGACTGGCTGAAACTGTAGCTCACCACAAATATACGCCTGAATGTGCGCATGTGCAGAAAAAATAGCTCCCTATGGGGACGAGCACGTAGGACTGCCTTAAATAAAAATATCAGCAGAATGATTGACAATTAGGAGGACCACTTATTTTGATGATCAGCCCGGAAAAAGAAAATCCACAAACTGCACCTTTAATTTGTGTGCAGTTATTGAATAGAAAAATCCCTTTATTGGCCCACAATGGGGAAATTCTGCACACAAGTAACATTATCCTGTATTAAAAATGAAAAAAAGTAGTTAAGCTATTGTAAAGTTTATTTACTTGGTATGGACATTATTACAGAGACCCTCCTTAATGTAGTTTATTCTTCTTAGGCCTGAACCGGTTATGAAGATCTGCATTCTCAGTTTTAATGCCAAACACTCATTAGATGGTGCAGCAGAGAGTTTTTTTATAAATAACATTGTCAGTCTGCTATTTCCATCTAAATTGTGTTTTTCTTGTTAGGAAATATTTACCTGCTTGTAGGCTTAAACCTATGTCTATAAGGTATTAAAAAGACTAGATCAATGAAAGTAAAAAAAATGTTTTGTGCCATCTTTGGCTTTTTGTTTATCTCTTTTTATTAGGTGATGATGATGAAGAGGAGAGTGGGGAAGAACGATTGCCCTCCTGCTTCGATTACATCATGCACTTCCTGACAGTTTTCTGGAAAGTTCTCTTTGCTTTTGTCCCTCCAACTGAGTACTGGAACGGCTGGGCCTGCTTCTTTGTCTCCATTTCTCTTATCGGCGTTCTGACAGCTGTGACGGGCGATCTGGCCTCACATTTCGGATGCACCGTTGGTCTGAAAGACTCGGTCACCGCTGTGGTGTTTGTTGCTCTTGGCACCTCTGTTCCAGGTGGGTGTCAGTGCTGACAATCGTCTCACACCAAAGAGCTGCTGTTTATTCTCTCAGGGGTTTTTTTTTGCCTGTGGTGTAGAAACAGGTGCTTGAAGAGACTTATATAACCTCAACTCCTTTTGAGCTGTCAGAGGAATTACCTCCAAAGCTCTTGCTTAGCACCCTAACAAGCTGTAAACAAAGGAAAGCACAGTTCCACTTGTACGGTCAGCTTGTATAACCAACTTACAATTTCCTAAATCTTTGAAGCACAAAAGCGTCTAAATGAAGTTTTGATAGGCTTTTTATGGTGACTCTGCTTTTTGTCCTCAGCTTTGGAGATGAGTGCAAAATAAAATAAGTTGACAATTTTAAATAATTCTGAACAAAGCTGATATCTTTAACATTTGCTGTAATACTGTATAGTCTTAGAAGCAATATTACAGCATTCCCAAATGTCATTAAATAAAGCCCTGTAAGAATCCAGGTTAATCCTAATCTATAAATTACAAGGATTGCCCTAAAATTAACCCTGGTATAAGTAATATATGGTGTACTTTTGATAACATTTCCCAATGGAAGTAGAGAGAGATAAGAGAGAATCTCCCTCCATTAAGCAAAAGCTACATCAAATAACTTCTGAAATGGGAAAACATCCATTAAATACATATTAAAACATTAAAGACTAATATAATCCTCATTTGTACATTCACCGTGTACAATTTGTTTCATTAAGTTTTTTGTAATCTCGCCATCAGATAAGGCACGCAAGACAACTATTTATGCAGTATGACACATTTCAGTTGCAAGACAGTTCAAAGTTCCAATGCAAATAGCTAGCTGCTATTAATCTGACAAAAAGTGCAGTCAACCAGCAGAAAGCAGATACTTTGTCTTTTGTTATAGCCTTATTAGTAATTAGACAATTTAAAGTTGCACATTAAAGCAACAACAACACATCAGCCATTTTCAGAAGACAAGTCTTAGATAAAATAATACAAATTAACCACAAGAGGTGTTCTGGTGAAGCCATCTCAATAGATGAGATGATGCACATTACAGTGTTTAAAAGAATTAGATAAGATCACCAATGAATATGTGGTATAACCCTGTCTGTTTGATTTATGTGATTAATTAAGTGTACAATATAATGTGACCCAACTTTAAAAAGTGAGACCAAACAAAAACAGGGAGGACTCTATGCTGTCACTCAGCACTGCTCTATAGGAACATTAAGTTTTTTTTTTTTTAATCTAGCTACAGATGAACTGAATCAAACCGCTATAGAGTACATAGCTCCCTCTGGACTTAAATAAATTACTCACTTGTCAAGGTGGATGTAAACAGCACTTTAACTGGAGAAAAAAACACTCCTATTTAAATGGCTGCTTAACATATTTATACTTATCCTCACTGCTCATGGACGAGAGGCAGGGTAGACCCCAGGTTGCAGTCCATCACAAAACAACATACGATCCTCCCTTAGTCACTTTATTTTTCTAAAAAAAAACATTTCAGTGTACTGGTAAAAGAACTTGACATTTTCAACTAAAAATGATCAGTTGGACCCTACAGATTAATAATAGGATTTAATCAAAGTTCATGAACATGAAAAGTAGATATTTTGGCTTTTTAGTCTTTGTGTTGTCATCTCAATATTAGTTTTCCTTGACAAACAGCAGCTAATCTCAAAGCACTTAAGAGAGCCAATCTAATAAAATCCTCCAGACATATTAATTAGGACATGTTTGCAGGTAAGGAACCCAGAAAATGTCTTTGAGTCATTGATTTGCAGAACTCACTAGTCCTAAATAAATGTGTTACAGCATTCTGCCATCGGCAGCAATTCCTCATGCCAAGCAAGAAACAGCCTTAGTGTGGACAACCTTCTGTTACAACAGTCCGAAGGTTTAAGCATATAGAGTGTATACAAAAGAGATGTTCTCCTCCACGATGGGGTCACAACTGAACAAAAACCTAGAAAAATGTTGTGCCTTTGAAGAGGCAACAAGGCAATGATAGCAATGGAAGCAACATTGCCTTGGAAGGAAGGAAGGAAGGAAGGAAGGAAGGAAGGAAGGAAGGAAGGAAGGAAGGAAGGAAGGAAGGAAGGAAGGAAGGAAGGAAGGAAGGAAGGAAGGAAGGAAGGAAGGAAGGAAGGAAGGAAGGAAGGAAGGAAGGAAGGAAGGAAGGAAGGAAGGCTCCTATAAAAGCTTAGAATTGGGAATTTATAATTATAAATTAGATAAATTAATGATGTTACATCCAACTGAGAAACACATAGGCTCTATGCAGGAATTGTGATTTTAAGGTTGAAAGGAAATCTTTCATCTGTGAACTCCATATAGGCTACAGATTCAATAAACAATACCACAGAAAAGGAGCCATATTGAGGTTTGACTAAACTCTAGAATCGATGGGGGAGGAATTGATCCTGCACTGCTGTCTCCTAAGCCTGCTCCTTTCAGTGTGCATCTTGTCTTTGTGCGCCCCTTAGCTCCACAGTAGAATCAGACATTTACCTTTATTCAGTCCTTAGTGGGCAGTCTGCTGCATCCCAGTTTCATAAGCACCTCCTGAAATCCACACTCCTGCTGAGAGTAGTTGCAAGGAGAAGAAACCATAGAAACAGGAAGACTTCTTTTCAACGTCCCTTACCAAGCTCTTTATCTTGCATCATTTCTTGTAGCCAAATCATTCACATACTTATTACATGCCCCATCGACATGTGGGCATGTCATAAGTAGCCAGCTGATCCTTTTTCCTATCCTCTGAGCCCTTGGATAAAAACATCCATCCAAGTCTCATTGTTCCAATTACTGTCTGCCGTCAGTGTACAACAATCAATTATATAATAAATTGTTAAAAAAAAATTTAAAAGTCAATAACCTGTCAAAGCATGCCCATTCTGTCTAATGGTAAATAACCTCCTAGAAGACTCTTGACTGGATAGGATTGAATTGAACACCCAAACAAGCTCTCTGGCAAAAAGCATTGTAAGAATAACAGAGTGTTTTATTTCTCTGCCAGTCAGGTGGGCCCAACCTTTGGCTTTTGCCATATAGAAATGATATAACTGAAGCTACCTTGGAACATTTCAAGGGGAAGGTGGAAGGTTGCAACTCAAAGTGTATCTCCAACTGCGTGAGGAAGGAACAACACTGAAGAGGCATTACTTTACACACATCTAGAAAGATTAGTCTAGGCCCTCTCTTAGAGACTGTAGAGCAGACAGGTGGGTAACAAAGGCAGAAGCTGAACTAGTCTGACTGACAGAAGTTTCAGTGACACCTTAGAGTAGATTATATCAGGCTGAGAACAAGATGACCCAGTTTTTGAGGGGAAGAGACAATTAGGTTTCACAAAATGTTTATTTAAGACAGAACTGCAGTGAACAACGTTCAACCTTTGCAGGAGGAGAACACAGGTTAGAGACCATGTCTATCTGTGGAGGATTATAACGAACATGTGAGTCAACTGCCTGGTCTTAAAGTTCAGTCCGTGCCCTGACAGTCCGGAGGACAGGCAGGAGATCAGAACTGAGCAGACAAAGGAAAGCAGTAAAATCCAGCGGGCAAAGCCAAAGCCGGTGTCGAGGATGTGTTCAGGAGTCAGGGCCAGGAGATTATAGATCCGAAAAGGTACTGAAAGGAAATCCAGGATGGTGTCAGGAATCAGTTTCAGGTTCGGTACACAGGCAGAATCCAGCAGGAGTCCAGGGACAGGTCAGGTGAACAGATCAGAATGGGAACGGTCAGGCTCAGAGGTTTAGAGGCAGAACTGGTCAAGATCAGGCAATCAGAAACACTCAGGTACGCTAGAAAACTATCAGAAAAGGCTTATAATCTGGCACTGGTGACTGGTAGATGGCTGGTTAAATATGGGCTGAAGCAGGTGGATAAGATGAACGGTAATGAGGACTGGGAAGAGCTAGGCAGGTGAATCAGAACGGTCATCAGTGTCAAGGTAAACTTACTCTGTAAAACAAGTCTCTTACTTGGAAACAGTATTTTTTAACACAGACACTCCACTCAAGAGTCGGCAAAAGGTACATTGTCTTTTGTAATGCCTGGACAGAGTCTTGAGAATGACACACCGATAGATAATTCAGCCAACACAAGTAGTAAGCATGAAATTAAAAAGTTAAAGTAAAGAAATGTTGCAGTAACTGGAAGTGACTGAAACTGGAATCGCTGAGAGGAGGGTTTGGGGCTGATAACAACTCAGTAGTTTTGAAGTGCACTGAATTAAAGCCACATACTGTCTCAGAAGCTGGAAGATTTATCCTAGTGACTCTGTTTGGATGTTTTCAGATGATTGATCGACAGATCCAAATCTTAATGGGGCCATACAGGGCTAAGGCTAGCAGGGGACCTGCAGTCAGTTCAGGGGTGTGCACCTAGAAGCAGAGGCTTCCAGGAGGGCTAATCGAAAGGGGAACCTGGAGTTCAAGCGAGAGCCTCTGAGGCACACTAACCAGGCAGAGGTTTCCAGAGGGACAGAGGCAGGTCCAAAGTCCAGGCTTGGCTCATACACGATTTGATAGAAAGATCCAAATAGGGCCAGAGGCAAACAGACTTGGTCAAGAATTAGGTCACAAAGTCAATGCGCAAAGATCAGAGGCCAACAGCGGTATCTGACAGGGTTAAGGCAGGCAATAGAAAAACACGAACAAGACAGGTTGAGATCAGGAGGTCAAAACAAGGATTGCTGGATGGTCTACCCATCGCTTTCACAAATCAAAAATGTATCCATTGGGAGAGCCAGGAATTTGTAATGTTCATTAAAGGTGTAGCAACATCTGATAATAGGAGATGCATCAGGTGTAACAGCTAAGTCCTGGTTGCCAGGGCAGCAGAGGTAGCAGGGAGGGATGTCATGGGATTGCATGCACCAGCTTCAGAGGCAGGAACATTACATTTATGGCTGGTTTATCCCCCTATTTCCCCTCAGTCTTTTCATAAATCTAATTAGGATTCTAGCAGAACCTCTCCCTATTTGCGGCTTGAAAGTCTTCAACATTATTTAAACAGTGTGGTAATTAAAATGAACTGTTCTACTGTACCTCTTTCCAAAGAATGTGAACTGTGATGTGTCATCAAATAATGTTCTGTGTCACCTGACCATCAGAGGATGGTCAGTTTCCTAATGAGGATCTGATTTAACAACTCTAATTTTTGCAGGACTTTTTGTGGTCGCAGATTGAATAACCTTATAGCCTAGTAGTCCAGTACTTTTGTTCTGATCAGTTACCATTATCCCACATTTGACATTGTTCACTTTAAGTTGGTAATTTAAGTGTAAAATTTCTTCCAGCCCGATTTTTGCATCCAATCTCTCTCTACTGTATAGAAAAAGTTGACATGTTTCTCGTTTTACAGACACATTTGCAAGTAAAGTGGCTGCCATTCAGGACCAGTATGCCGACGCCTCTATTGGGAATGTGACAGGCAGCAATGCTGTGAATGTATTCCTGGGCATCGGGGTGGCATGGACCATCGCCGCTGTTTACTGGAACACGAAAGGTCAGACATTCAAGGTGAACCCTGGCTCGCTAGCCTTCTCCGTCACCCTCTTCACCATCATGGCGCTGGTGTGTGTGCTCGTGCTGCTCTACCGCAGGCGCCCCAGTGTTTCAGGCGGTGAGCTCGGGGGCCCACGGACAGCCAAGCTACTCACTTTCTTTTTTTTCATCTCCCTCTGGTTCATCTACATCCTGCTGTCCTCCTTAGAGGCGTACTGCCATGTGCCGGGGTTCTAAATGCAAGGCAAAAGTAAAGACATGACCCCTCTTCTTGTTTTTACAGTTTACAGGTTTCTCACTGTTTTTGTCAATTTTCACAAGATTTCTAACTATTTGTATCATCAGTATTATTGATACGGCACAAAATCTAAATAATTATGTATTTAAGGACTTTGGGACTTTGTTACCACTGATAATGCTGTGAAAGCTAGCTTTAGCCTCTGAAACTACTCTTATCTACTTTTTCTTTTTGTGCTCTTAAGTACTTTAATTTGTAGAAGATATATACAGTACTGTGAAAATGTATTTACCCCCTTACATGTTTCCTCTAATTTTGTCACTTGTGTTTTAGATCTGAAAATATTTTTTAATATCACACCAAGATAATATAAAAAGTAGTTTTTATAATGATGGTTTTACTTACATGTTAAAGGAAAATGCTTTTAAAACCAATGAAAAAGTAATTGGCACCTAAACCTAATAACTTGCTATCTAACCACCACCAGTGACAATAACTCTGCAAGAGTTTGCAGTGCTTATGAGTCTTTTAAATTGCTGGTGAGGAAGGGCTGTCAGACCTGATTAAGCTCATGCTACTTAATTCTAATAAATTTTAGGTCCAGGCTTTAACATGGCCTTTCTTTACTTAACTTTTTTCTTTTACGTATTTGTTTAAATCCTTCAAAGGTTTGCCTACTGCTATTTTTTAGATGGCTCCTTTAAGTAGATATCTACAACTGTAAATCCTCCCCACCCACACGTGGCACAGTCACCACTCTCGTTCCAATCTTCAATTGTACTGTTGGTCAGCAGGTTGCCAGGTCTGCCAACTACCAACCGTAAGCTGAGAGGAAAAATGTCAAGTTGGGAGCCTTTCACGGTATATCAATTGTTCATTAAAAGCCTCTTATTGTTTCTATATAATACTATTATTCAGTGGAACAATCTTTTTGTGAAACACGTCAGTTCCCTTGGATGAGTTAAACGCAGATAAGTAATTTCCAAGTTTTGATTAATGAAGAAAATCATTGTTAGTGAAAAACTAATAACACATCAGAGTAATTTCACACTAGGTTGCTTGCAAAAGAACCGAACAAACTTGCAACAATGCACCCATGCCACGTTAGGGTACCAGCTAACCATCGGTTAACATAAGCAAACATTAACTTGCTCGTGAAAGAAAAGCGTCAACCTCCATGTTGCCTCTGAGCCGCTTATCCATCTTAAAGGAATAGTACACCCAAAACATGATTAGCCTTCATTTTCTACTCACCCCAATGCTGAACAACACTCTGGAGTACTTTTTTGATATCTCAAATGCCTCTGGAGATCTGGGAGGCTTCTTGCTGTCTGCTGACATTCAAATAATGGAGGTCCATGGCGCCCGAGGCAGAAAGGTCCATAAAAGTCCACAAAAAACGTGTCAATATTCCTCCATACTGCTCGTCCAATGTATTCCGAGTGTCCTGAGTGGGTAGCATCCAGAATGTACTCGAAACGAAGTCATTTAGAATGTTTTTAGAGCATAAACAGTAGTGTATAGGATTTCCTGAAAGCGCGCGCCGGCGCGTTCATGACGCTACGGAAGCCGGCAGAGCAAACCAGATGAAAGTGCGCTTCAGCGTCTGCTCTGCCAATAATGCAAGCGTAGAAGAAGAAATGTGCTGTTTACCTGTGCAAAGAAAGAAACAACGAAAGAAAAATGTCTGAGGACTTCAGTGTTGAGGAAGAGCATGAGTTCTTTGCCGAGCTGAATGCGCACTTTCATCTGGCTTGGTCTGCCGCGGTTTCCGTAGACTCGTGAACGCGCTTTTAGGAAATCCTATACACTGCTGTTTATGCTCTAAAAACATTCTAAATGACTTCGTTTCGAGTAAATTCTGGACGCTACCCACTCAGGACACTTGGAATACATTGGACGAGCAGTATGGAGGAATATTGACACGTTTTTTGTGGACTTTTATGGACCTTTCTGTCTCGGGCACCATAGACCTCCATTATTTGAATGTCAGCAGACAGCAAGAAGCCTCCCAGATCTCCAGATGCATATGAGATATCAAAAAAGTACTCCAGAGTGTTGTTCAGCATGGGGGTGAGTAGAAAATGAAGGCTAATCATGTTTTGGGTGTATTATTCCTTTAAGTCTTCACCAACTCTCAAGGGCTTCACCTATGTTTCTCACCTTTTTTTTTTTTTGAACACCTGAATATGAGAAATGTAAAGCCAAGGAGAAGTAATTTCTCAGAGCCTTCGCATCTTATTTGACTTTAACCTACTATTCCAATTCAAGCAGAATCCTTTCATGTGAATGTTGCCATCACAACCAGAAGTAAATATATAAAACACTTTATGTGTGCAAGGGGCAAGATTCTGTCATCCCTGGTGTCAGATAAAAGTCAAATTTACGCAAAGTTTCTACTCTGTTCTATTCTGTTAGGTGTAGCCTGTTAGAGTGAAGTAAAACTGCTGGTTTACTGCTGTTTATCATGATGTAACAAAAGGGTTAATTATTTTTTAAACAGGACCAGGATGCTTTTGATACTTTCATTCCTTTGGTAATAAACCCATCATTTAAACCCTGCTTTTTGTTTTCAATCAGGTTCTTAGAGATTAAAATTAGCTTGGGCATCTAAAATATTTAAGAGTAAAAAATAAAAAGGAAAAAAAAAACTGTGGGGAGGGAAATATTTTTTCACTGTATATAATGATCAGTCTGGGCTTCAGCTCCACCAAACCTACTCCGCTGCTTGACATTTACAGCTTTTAGCATATTTTTCCTCTTCTGTGTAGATTCCTGAATAAGTTTGCTTAATCTTGACATGGAGATCCAATATTCCTTAATGGGAGCTAAAGGATGAAAAATGAAAGTTGGTGCATGGGATGAGGTTACATCGCACTTTGTCACAATATGATGGACTGAGAAGGACAAAACATGCTTGTGTAATCAATATAAACATTAATGATTCATTGTATACCATGTAAAAGATTAACATTGTGTGTGGGAGTTTTGTGAAAGACTCAGTGTGTTTACTTTTGCACGTACTCAGATTCACAGTTTCTTGGTAATCTATTTTAGAGTGCTGTACGTAATATTTTGGCATAGCTGTTGAAGTGTTGGTGTATTTCTCTACGTGTGAATTACAGATCTATCATATTCTCTTCACTGCCTGGACCCCTTTCCTTGCATAGCCTTCTCCATACTTTTTAGAAAACCAGGCTTTTAAAAATGTTATTTATTTATTTTTATTTTTTTGTCTTTACAACAAAAGTGAAGCTGCGGCTTGCTTCCAGATTGATTTATAAAGTTTACATATGTGTGTGAATGTGTATGTGTGTACAGGTTAGCCCTTTTTTTGGAATAAAAATGTTTGAGTATGGACTCTACAGATGGTACATGGTTATTGTTCAATGAATAAAAAAAAGAAAAATTATAGTTTATGTGCAGATTCTTCTTGTGAACTTTTTTTATGACGACACTGTCAAAAGCACAGCTGACATATTTTTCAATGAGAGAAGCAATCATCATAACCCCATTACCAAATGTTTGACCTGAAAAATGTGTTAAAAAGAGCACATGTGTACAGTGTTAATTGAGAGTGTTGCAGTGTTACACAGCCGTTGATGCTGAAAGGTTTTTTATTATTGTTTATTTAACTTAGAGTATGTATAGCCATATTTATTGTTACTGTATTACTGTAGAGCTATTTATATGATCTGTTTTACTTTTATTTATACGCATGTTCATTGTAAAAAAAAAATAAAAGAGGTGGAAATAAATGTTGATTTATGGTCCCATACAGTGTTGTTATTTTAGTTTGCATTTTTCTGGTGTCATTTACATAATATAGAAAAAAGAGATTTGCTGTGTTTTTATTACCATTGTTGATGTTATAATACAACTTAAAGGCAAATAATGGAATTTGTGATCTAAGGAGTTGATGCCTATGAGTTATTTTAAATTATTCATCAGACCAGTACACAGCACTTGAAACTATCAATGTTACGAGCGGCTCTTCCCTCTTAAAATATCGACTGCAAGTTGGGAGAAAATGCACCGTTTTTACCCAGGCCATGTGACCTGGAAGAACCTATCGCTTTTTCGTTGGCACAGGCTGAAAGAAAAAGACAGATGTAAAACCGATTCTCTTTTGTCATCTTTATTATTAGACTGGTACGTTAACACTTTACTCGTAGTGTACAGTCATATATATTTTTCTATGTTTAGTAGAAGCAAAATAAAGGCAGAGAAAGCTAGCAGGCTACAAACAAAAGCTAACCTAGACATCCCATCCGACCCAGTGGCTGGTCACTGGAGCTGTGGCACTGGCACTGCATAGTCCGGCATGCACTGTAAATGCTATCTAGAGAGAAGCAGCATTTCTCATGCCCTCAGAGGTGAACCTAGATGCTCAGCGAGGTCTGTCAACCAAAAGGCACACCCCTAGTGGACAAAAGTTACACTGGGTGCACTTAAGATATTAGAAATTACAATATTCATGCAGGAGAAATGGATGGTTTTTGCTTCTTTCTCTGCTTGATGATCTCCAGCTCTTCCCATAGATTTCAATTGGATATAGGTCAGGTGATCAAAAGGGTTATTCTTGCAGTTTTACTTTTTTCTCTGAAATCACTAAAGAAATTCTCTAAAGGAGCAAGTAATAAAGACACCTAGTGTTTCAAATTGTAACAACACACAGAAAAAATACACCTCCCCACCTTCTAGGTGCTGATTTGCAAATATTCCTCCTTAAAACTTGGCGAAAAAAAAAAAAGAAAAAAAAAAGGTTTTAAATTCATCTGTCTAGACTGGGCATGCCCAAAGTCGGTCCTAGAGGGCTGCTGTCCTGCAGGTTTTAGACCTTTCCTGCTTCACCTCAGCTGATTTCTAGCTGTTGAACAGACTTTTAATGAACTGCAATCATCAAATCACCTGTTCTATTGCACAGGTCTTCTTGTATAGAGGTATCTGGCGTTCCAGTCTTATTGCAGGTAAGTTCTTTCCGGTTTGTGTAATCAAGCCACTTTCTCCATTGTTGTTTCGGGTATTTGGACTTGATCCTTGGGTAGTAGGTCATTTTTCTCCATTGCAAAGATTTCCTCTACTATTGATATCCATTGCATCAAGTGTGAAGGGTAATTTTTTAACCATTTTCTGGTAACCGCCTTTTTAGCTGTAACTATCAATATTTTGAGGAGATGGATGTTTTTCCCTTGTATCTCTTCACTCTCCAGCCAGCCCAAGCACACAATACGTGGGTCCTTGGGTATCTTGTACCCTATTATTTCTTCTACAGCCTGAACAACTTGATCCCAGTAGGTTTGTATTTTTGTACACTGCCAAAATATATGAAAGGTGACTGGCATTCATCTGTCCACATTGCTTCCAATATTGTTGCTGAATATGGAGTAATTTATTTTGTAACTGAGGTTTTATAAAGCAGCATATCAACTTTTTTAAGCCAAATTCCCTCCAGCCTCTAGAGCATGTGGAGGACTGTTGAGTTTTGCACATTGAAAGCCAGTCGCTATTTGAGTTTTTTACTTTAAATTCTGCCCATTTCGTTTTTGTAGGCTTTTATTTAGCTAATTCAAAGGATGTATTTAGCTTCAATGTCTACCTCTTGAAAATCTTTGTGTCTTTTTGTACATGGAACATTTTAAGCGTGGAATCTAAGCAGCATCCACATGTGGAGTGTTTTAATGAGATATAAACATGTGATCCTTATGAAATACACAGAAGAGGAAGTTGCATGATATTTATGCATGTTTACGTCTATGAAAGAAACTGATCCAAAAGCTGGAGGAAGTGGGGAACCTGTAAGAACCATTATCTATCATTCTGGTCATGCCATACTCTATTTGGAACCACATAAAGCTAATCACTATAACTCCAGGCAAAACAGAGCTCTAAAGCAGGGCTAAAAATGTTTAGAAACAAATGTAAGAATGATGAACTTTCGAAATTACCTACATACTCTCTAGCAGCAGTAGCAATAACTTTAGAAAAATACAGGAAATTATGTTAAAGAGGCAAAAGGGTTCTGAAATAACCCTTCCAAACCACAGTACTGTGTCTTAATAACTGTCTTT